CTGTGTTTTTAGGGTTATTAACTGAGTTTGTGTACTCAGACCAGTAATATTTGGGGTCACAATTTTTTGCCATGGATATTTTGTGGGTCAGAAGATAAAAGGTTTGGGAACCACTGACTTAACTGACCATAATTTAGCTATTATTATCACATAACGAAAACCATAATTTAGAGATATCATTTTTGGTGTATGTAGTCCTAATTTGAATTTAGAGGATCCATTTTTGCTTTTTCATTTAGGCCAAATATGTGCGAAAACGCATAATTATTTACATAATTCTGACTTCATAAAACTCCTTGAACTTGACCGCCATCTAGTGGARCCAGAGAAAAATGTTTTTGACGTTTTCATTTAGCTGTTTGCTCATCGATGTTTCTGAGTTCATCCAAAGAGAAAACTGGTCCAAGAGATGAAGTCAGAAAGATGCTTTTTCTTATTTAATTTAGTTGCAGTTTTATTTATGTAAAATTAGTCTCAGTAAACTAATGATTTAATCAGTGACGTGTGAATAATAGTGAACATTTTGTGCGGGACCTTTTGACGTCAGGTGAGTGACGCTCCGCTCCATCCCGGTCGGTGCGCTGAGGCGCGCACTCTCAGCTCGGCTCGGCTCGGCCCGCCCGGACACTGCAGAGGACGGAACCGACACCTCACTGCGGCTGCTCGCTCCAGGACACCACGTCACTCCTCCGGGCCAGAACCGACAACACCGGACGCTGAGGAGCCACCATGGCGGAGTCCAACCCGAGCTGGGGGTTCCCCCGTCTGCGGCGGGCCGCGGTAAGCTCCGCCAGGAGGAGGAGGAGGAGGAGGAGGAGGAGGAGGACTGCAGCACAGACGCAGGCCAGCTGTCATTAACACTGCTGCTGCTGCGCAGAGAAAATGATTCATGTTTAGATGCTCTGATGCTGTTTAAAGGTGGAAGTCCCGGCTCTAGAGGAGCGGAGGACAGAGCAATGACACACCAGAGCTGCAGGTCCAGAACCAGAAAGCTTCACCAGCTCAGATGCTGCAGAGTGTTTCTGTTGAAGTCATGATGATGCTTTTGCTTTCCATTCAAACAGGCCTGCAAGGAAATCATTGTGCAAACTGCAGGGTGAGAGCAGCAGTTTACAATTTAAAGAGGCATTTCCTCTGATATGAATAAAGTTTGCTTGGAGCCACAGAAAACTCCTTGGCTYCAACTTTACATACTTTTTATACACGTTTTTGCTCATATATGTAAAGAAAGCTACGATTTACGAAACTAAACTGTCCTTTTTTATTTTGAAAGCGCAAAGACACAAAACTATTTTTGTTTCTTTGAGCATCATGGGCTGTGTTCAACAGAAGAAGTGAAATATGGCCTGATCTAACAAACACGCCAAGAAAGTTGTTATTGTTCTGAGACGACACCTTACAGCTTTACACACAGTGCATCACAGCAGCTATAAAACCTTCAATGAGCTTTTAATTTGAAATGATGCTGCACAGAGTGGATGATAATGTGAAAACACTCACAGCTGTTAAATGATGTTCAGATGGATAAATCCTGACAGCTGTTGTCTCACTTCAGACMTGGACAAACATTGTTTTCGCAGACATGACAGGGAGTTTATAGGAAAGTCATAACGTCGAAATTAGGTCAACTTTGTTTAGCAATAGGGGATTTTCTGATTTTATTATTAATAATACAGTATAAGCCTTTACTCTTCAAGAAGCTATGAAAGTTTTGTGTTTGTACAAAAAAAACAATTCAATTCTCAGTTCATAATACAGGTGAATGTGTATAAAAGGCAGTAATAGTGAGAAGAGCTGAGTTAGAGCAGCTGATTGGCTGCAGCAGCCAACAGATCCATCAGTCTGACACTGAAGGATGCTGATGCTGTGTTGAGCTCTGCAATCTCTTCTGATGGAGAAGATCAGCTACTCTCCTCGCTCTGCTGGCTCTAAAAAAGTCCTGCAATCTGGGAAAAGAATCAACACACACACGAAAAAAACTGTCAGTTTCACTTTTTGTTTTATTTTCAAAAAAAAAAAAACAAAAACAGGATAAGGATCCTTTTTTTCAACTTTGTTAAAATAAAATCTAGAACTAAAACAGTTTGGAGGGATTTCTGTTTCCTTTTTGACACTTTTAGGCTCTTTAGTGTGCACAATTATGTAACTAATGTTCAAGTTCTAACATAGACTTTTAAACACACTTAAAAGTTTCATCCTCATTTAGTTACTACTTCTCTTTAACACAAAGAGCTCTGACAAGTTTTGGATTTTTAACTCAACTTTATGAGTCTTAAAATATAAAACTTGTAGTTATCCATTGTGTTAACTAGTTCAGAAATTTGTCCGATTTGCAAGTGTTGACTGAACTTGAGTTTGTCAGTCATCCATCCATCCATCCATCCATCCATCCATCCATCCATCCATCCATCCATCCATCCATCCATCCATCCATCCATCCATCCATCCATCCATC